CTGGCATCTCGCAACAACTGGCCACACACATTCAGGGTTATGTTTTTCCACACTGGATGCTGAAATCCTCTTGCATACCTGTTCCAGGGTCAGCTGCTTTGAGATGGTTTCATTCTCCATCTTTTTGATCTTTTTCATGAGCTTGTTAACCTGGAACTCCTGCTCCTGCTCCAAGTGCTGCTCCAACTCTGCCTTCTCATGCTGGAGCTGTGAAAGGAAAAAGAGAAGATGGACAGAGGAATGGAGGAGGAGAGGGATGAAACCAGAGAGATGAGAAAGAAGGGAGAGGGGAGAGAGCACAAGAAGAGACTCACGGTGAGTCACATAAAAACTATGCATGACCACAGCGAACAAACACAGTGGTGTCATATCTTCACATTGAGAGTATAACAAAACAGATTGCCAATGTAACAATTCTACCAGATTAATGGTTAAACTTTCCATGAGGGTAAACGGCGTGAAATAATGATTTGGCAACCAAAGCCACCACCTTTGGCAGCCCACCAATACAAAGAAAGGGTGCGGCTCAGCACTGATTCAAAACGGGATGGCTGAGTGATGAATTATATAAGCGATTACTCATTACAGGGAAAGGGATGTAAATTCATTCATAGGAAAAGACTGGAAAGGGGAAAAAACATTTCCATTATGCTGCATACGGAAACAAATAGAACCCCTGAAAATAAGGCAGTTTGTATAAACTTATAATGAATGCAATCTTACCGTCGAGTGCCCCGCAGTATCCTGCAAACCACCAAGTTTTGCCACACCCAGTGTAGCCATTTTGCTTCCAATTGACATACCAACAATTATAGGAATTGTTTTAATAACGTGCCTCCTTTCAGCTAGTACAACTGGGACTGTTTATAAGGCCTCCACCCTACTGTACAGTGTGTTGAGTGGCAATTACTGCCAAGTATATCAGTTCTTCTTCAGCCTATGGAGAGGACACCTTGCAGATATATTTGATCTCACTTGGGCCATCTGTCCTTCATCCAGAGGCTGTTTGTAAGCAACACCACAACAGTAGCAGTGTACTTGTGTATACACAAAAGTACCAGTGTGACGGTTTTCCCTTTATTATGGCATCTTTTATTGTATCCTCGATACTGCTCTTTATTGCTTCTTCTATAAAAAGACAAACCTATATTTACATTGTAAACTAAAGTGACAGCGTATGGGTCATAAAGTAGGATAAAAGTTTGCACTTATTCAAATACCTGGTGAGGTCTATTGGCATCAATTAGAATAACACCAATTTAGATGACTAAAAGCAAAAAAATCCACCATCAAAAGCAATGGCTCAGAAAAAAAAGGTCACACCAAGTTGTTTACAAAAGTGCTTCTGCACAGGACCATTTACACAAAACCAAGTGAAACAAATGACTACATTTGCCCTCTACCTTCAGACATACACATAGATGTGTACTGAATATACAGGTATATACACACACACACTAACGGCCAATTTGTCAGCACCAACTCTACAGGTCTGTTTCATGTTAAGTAAGGAGGCAAGACAACAACATCCAAAACATGTCCATCTGTATGATCCTAAGCAGGGCTGCTGAGGCATCTGTGTGCCCATTCAAGACTCAATTCTTTACACATCAACAAACCATTAGTCAGCCTACAGCTAGCCGTTAAAGGTGTGAACACATGAGTGCTCATGCTGTGCACTCTGCATTTGGGAAAATATGATGTGGAAAACAGACTGAACCAGACATCTGACAAACAGGAGGTGAGTAATGTGAGTCCTTTAGAGTAGCTAGCAGCCACAGTGAAGTCATGTTGAGCCGTTAAAGGCTTCAGGCAAGATGATGATAATGCAAAATACATGGGAGTTGTGTATGCACACTGATACCTCATTCACACCAACGCAACTCCGGTTCAAGCTCCGTGCTAGAGCTTTTCAGGTTCAGAACCGGTTCTTCGGTTTAGCTCCGGCTCTTTTCACACTGCCCAGAGTCCGACTGGTGCTGCGTCATGACGTAACCGTTTGCGTGCCTGCTTCATAAAGCCAAACCGCGCGGAAACCCCTCACAGCTGACACCGACAACAACAACGGCCAATTGTGCTCGAGCTTCCTCTGTACCTCTTCGGAAGACCAGATTCCCAGTAGGTAGCTGGTCTCTTCAGTGGACCACTTCTGCTTGTTAAGTTTCTTCATCGTTGTGTACAAACTGGATAAAACGCCGGCTTTTTGTTATTGTTCAGGAGTTGATCCCGAGGGACTTGGGCCTACAGACTCCATTGATGGATCATGATATACAAATGACACATGTTTAGTGTCATTGTGATTCAGCCTTATGGTAAAATCATTTCTGCTTTGACTGTGGGTTTATTTAATCTGAGGCAAGCTGAATATGCTTCAATGCAGACCCATGTGAACAGGAAAACCCGGTGCTTTTCAAGCTCCAGCTCCGAACCGGCCCTGAAACACCGTTGGTGTGAAAGAGGTAATAGAGACCGAACTAGCAAGCTTAACCCACTTGACCCACTAGAATACTCTCAATGGTGCCTGGTATGAAGAAATACATCAAGCGTATTAAAACTCTTCTTATCCTATCCTGCTCCCATTACTCACATTCATGAGTTTCCTTGACAGTTCGTTGGTAAGAAATTCCTCCTCCTTTTCATAGTTGACGGCCAAGGTCTCCTTCTCCTTCTGGAGGGCCTGGATCTTCTTGAACAAGGTGTTGCTGATAAATTCTTCCTCCTGCTCTGCTCTTGCTTGCTGCAGGACAGAAACAAATGAGACAAAAATTAGCAAATCACACAGCATCACACCGTTTACTTTTCACATTCGATTTTGATGAAATCGACCAACAACCTGCAATACACACAAACCAATCAACCCAAAGCTGCTGCAGGGAAGTGTGCCAGCCAAAGAGGAAGCAGAATTTCCCCTAATGACTCAAGTGGTATTGCAGTAATGGGTGAATGACTGAGTGAAAGATGGACGCACTAAGGAAATGTGTTGGGCAGTTACAACAACTAGCATTACAGTGTGATGATAAGCCTGTCCTTGTTAGCACCACTCTCATATTCTCCACCTCAAAGCTGAACTCTGTTTTTTGCAAGCCGGTAGAATGTGTCAGTTGTTCAACAACAATGACAAAGACAATTGAAAGCCTCACACATTTACAGAGGCTGGAAAGGGTGCTATCTCTGAGGCTGACTGGCCATCATATGAGCCTGGCATCCAACTAGCTCGCTAAGTTTGGCCTACATACTTCCCATCTATCCCACAGATTGATTACACATTTTTTATGAAGCTGATTAACCGAGCTTGAAGACATGACGCATCAGTCCATGCCACTGCCGCTGTTGGGCTATTTAGTTTCACCAGGTTAGCGTATCCTGGCTGGGCATAACGTGGTGGCAATGTCTAGCAGTGAGTTACAGCTGACCAGATAACGTTAACTAACATCAGTCGGGTAACTTGTGAGGAGGCTACCCTATTGTTTACCGCATTTTAAGGTGCCCGTTGAGCCTACCAGGATGTGCAAAACAAAACAAAGCAAAGTAGCTGCCTAAGCATCTAGCACACGTTAGCCCGTTGGCTAAATTAGCATCATACCCAACTAGCTAACGTTAGCCGAGCTAGCACAACAACAGCGTGTTATGACCAAATGCAGATAACATGTCCATGTAACACAACACATGTGTGACTATTTAGCGATAAACGAACAGCACTAACCATAGCCAACTCACTGACAAATGCAACATAATAAGTGGATAGCCTCCAGCTAGCTAAGCTATGTTGCTAGCTAACGTTACTCACAATAGTGACGCTAGCTTTGCGGAGGTCCCGATTCTCCTCCTGCAGGGCTTTGCACTTGAGTTTGAACGTCTCCAGCTCAATTTTAAGAACTTTATTCTCCTGTTGTAAGGAGGCCAGGCGGTTCGTTAGCTCCTCCAGACGAAACTGTGAAATAACTATGCTCGGTTTCCCCGAATTGGAGGCGGAGGAGGACATCGGGGTGGCCGAGCTGCTCCCCGCTCCGTCGGTGTCGCTCTCGCTTGCGCTGTCGGCCATGGCTGTGCGACAGAGAGCAGCTGCAGCGTTGAGCACCAGACAGCAGAATGGTACACCGTGTGACCTTGCTCACTCCTGTGGGCATAGCGCCACCAGTAGGAAGTCTCCAGTACCGCATGATGCATCAGTGACACATTCACCTGAACCCATACTGTTTTATCCAGAGGTGGGAGAAGTACTCAGATATTGTACTAGTACCAGAGTGTAGGAATACTCTGTTAAAAGTAAAAGTCCTGCATTCAAAATGTTACTCAAGTGAAAGTACAAAAGTATAAGCATCAAAATATACTTGAAGTACCAAAAGGGAAAGTACTTATTATGCATTTTCTATCCATTCCATATTGATACAATAATGTGTTTATCAAAGCTGATGCAGCTAATTTTAATAACTGTATGCTGCTGGGTAGCTTGTGAATTTACCCCCAGGTATAACTAAAGTCCTTTGTTTTTACCTGTGAATTTTGGTGGAGTAGAAGTAGCATAACATTGAAATGCTCAAGTAAAGTACAAGTATCTCAAAATTGGACTTAAGTATGGTACTGGAGTAAATGTTTTTAGTTACTTCCCAACGGGTTATAATTGGTTTATTTTATTGTTGCATGCTTGACCTAGCCTAATAATTAAGTCATTGGTCCTGCAGTATAGTCTTGCACACTTTCTAGCCTTTCTTCTAGCACTGTTATTATTACATCTGTTTTATGTCTTATATATATTTATGTTGCATTGTTGGAGGAGCAATTGCATCCCTTATTCCTCCTGTCCACGCGTCAAAGTGTCCTTGGGCTATATAAATGCATTCCATAAGTTACATTATTCAACATAAATGAGCAATATCCTCATAGGGAACGTTTGTTTCCTGGTCGCACAAGGCAGTAGAGACAAGCAGCCCTGGAGATTTTTGCTCAAGTCACATGACTGTGGTTGAATGAAAAAGTACTCAAGACAAGAACAGAAACAATTGTATTGCGAAATCAATGCATTTTTATTTTTTTTGAGTTTTTTAGGTTGATTTTTTTAAAGACGTCTGAAACATTTGTGGTGGCATCATTGCTGCTATAGTCTCTAAAAGACCTTGAATAACCAAAGTGCTAGAATAGTTACATTTCAATGGCTTCACTCTGTTAGTAAGAATTGTACATCAAAAAATCTGCTCAGGTGAAAACACATATCAAACAAAATTGAGGGTTCAGCCATATCAAAGGATCCTCTACCCCCTGATTGACATAGTATAAGGGGATGTGGTACAGCGCCTTAACTGACTTCCTTTACAACCCCCGCCCCTCCCCGAAAAAAGTTACATAGTTTCCTTGTCCACAGCATAGATATCGGCATACTGAGCCATCGCATCAGTAGAACACCACACTTGAACTACATGGGCATCTAATGAAAACCAATACAAAGGTAATTCCTTATGTAAAGTAAAATAAAATCTGATGAGCTAGTGAAAACATTTCTATTTGACACTGCATATACAGACTCTCAAGCCTAAAAAGATCACACAGTTTCAGAGTTTAACACAATTTATTTAATGCTTAAATAACTGTTTTTGACCATCCAGTGTTTTTGTCATACAATATGCTATTAAGAGCTACAATCAAATAATGTCTTTATGTGACCTTAATGTGAGTAGGTTTTAAATAAGGAAATACTTCAACAAAAGAAATCAAAAATGAAATGCCCCAGTTTTCCTTTAATACCACAGCAGTCATAAGAAAACCAAATTGACACACTGCTAAAATGATTACAAACAGTCTAACAGTGTACAGAGACTCCTACACCTTATAGCCATTACGCACAATACAGTTATAATTTTACAGCGAGCCAGCCTACCAGCATTTACATTCAGATTATTTCGTTCTCGTAGCAGAAGCTGCCCTCCGTTTCACATAGACAGACAAGACATCACACCCTCAATAAGCTATAGAACTTTTTTCATCCTCATCCCGACGTGATAAATGTTTAAATGGTGTCCTTTTTCAATTTAAAATATAAAATTGGTGACATGTTAGGGCTATATGTGAACACAGATAAAGGGTTTTATTTGTAATTTGAATACAGTGTTTGCAAACTTGTAAAAATTGTACTTAAAATAATGTGAACAGCATGCATGAAAATATGAGTACTCTGAAAGGCTTTTTGTTGGATTAGATCCATTCCCACTTTGGGAATTACTGAAATTCGATTTTCTGGAAATGTCCTCAGTTAAAATCAAACCAGTTTTTTTTTTCATGTACAAACATTATACCTGCTCTAATAAGTAATTATACAAGAACCTGTGAAGTTACACTCAAATCTTTAAAAGTGGAACTGTTTCAATAAAGTTTGAAAGCACTTGAAAAGGTTACTCTCCTCCGTGTGTCCTCAACCAGTAGCTTACCCTTTTTTAAGGAATTTTACACATTGTAATTTTATATACAGAAAAAAGCTCTTGTGTTAGTTTAAGTTTTAAAAAGGAAGAAAAAAAATCCCCAAACAATTTACATCCTGACAACAATGGGATCAAGAAAAAACTATAAGGCGAGTGTTGAAGTTGGATCAGAATTGTCCCATTGGATTTTTTTTGTGTGTTATTGTGTCTACTTCATTCTTTCCACCCACCGTGTGGACTGAGCTCTTGTGCCATCTTTGGTCACAGTGTCACCTGTGTGGTTGTCAGTAATGGGAGTCTTTTATCGTTTTCACAACAAACGATACTCCTCTAAAAAAGCTCTCACAACAACAGTGGACCAATGGCACATATTGTTTCACACAAAACAGGAAGCAGAATCATTGTCCACGGGTCCACAACAGCTAAGAGTGAGAACCTCCCGGTGCTTTCGTTGACAGGTAGTGAGTTTGTCATGCTAATGCGTAAGTCAGAAGGGTCGACTCCTCTCGCGTGAAAACTGTTTGTTTGAAGCAGAAAGTTGCAGACTGGACCCTGAAGTCCTCACACCGGAGCCTCGAGCCCTCGGAAAACGTATTTCCAGGAAACACCTAACTTAGTTCCTGCACACCTGGAAGACACAAAAAAGTACATTTACATATTGAAGCATAATTAAAGATATAAATGTATAGATTACAATCCAATTGTTTTTACAGGAATAAGACTGAATGCCATATATGTTATGTCTTCACTTGTTTTAACAATCTGACTTAGAGACATTTATCCATTTCTTGTATATGTATCTTTTTTTTATGGTTTGCACAATTTAAAAAATATACAAATATATAAACATAACGGATAACAAATGACGAACAGTGCAGGTAGAGGCAAACAAAGAATTGGGCATATTTAAAGCCTCTTCTTAAGTAAAGTCATTTGTTTTATTTAAAACACAAGACCAATAGCTTGAATTCAATACAAATCGTAAACTTAGATTCAATAATGTCTACAAATGTAAATTATTTTTAAGGGAAATGTTATCTTTATATAGATATTACATTAATTTCAACGGTTGTAATCATTCTCTCACAAAATCATTTTTTTCTACTTTTAGAAATATTTTTAAAGGAAAATCACAGTCACGATCTCCTACTCCATTGTATGACAACATGTCAACATGTTAACAAGACCTGACGGTCCGTGGGTTGTTATGGTGACCTCCGTTACCATAGAAACTATTTTTCCAGGCTTCCCAGTAGGGCCACATTATTTGTAAGTCAGTATTGTACAGATGGAGTGATTCACTGCAAACACAACACAAGGCTGAACAGCAGTGGGGATTAACAGTCTGGCCAGTGGGATAATAAACTCTTTCTGGATGCTACTGTGCCGCTGTGAGTGGAGGATTTAGTGGACAAAAACAAGCATGGAGGGTATCAGGGGGGCTTTATATTGTTGAGGTGTGTGCCGCTTGTCAGCCCTGTTCCCTATTCACACACAATCAGACATGTTGCTTAGTGATAACCAGCTCAGACTTCAGCCAGCACTGAGTCTGTGTGTCAGAGAGACAGAGCAGGTATCAGGGGAAGGGGACATTAATGGAAGGGTTGGACATTTTGGTTTTCTCTCATGTAAGTGAATTAGGTACAGCGCCAGTGCCAGGAGGAGATTAGCTTAGCATACAGATAGGGAAGCAGCAAGCTAGAATATGTCTAAAGTTAAAAAAGATGTATCAGCACATCTTCAGTTAACATTTAACACATTGTATCTGGTTTAATAAACACACATGTGAACGCCTGATCAATGCACTTTTTAGCCTCTTCCCTAAAAAACACTAAAGTCTTCCTACAAGTTCCTTTGCCTTCCCTACTCTTAGAGCTAGACTAATTATCTCAAATGGAAAATCCAACAACCCTCTTCTCAAATTAAAACCATATGTGACATCAGAAATGGATTTTGAGGGATGGATTTGAGGGAAGCGAGATACGTTTATGTTGGTTTGGAAAACATTTCTATCCCACTTCCTCTCTCAGAGAAGCTAGGAGCATCAGCCTATTCACTTTTAAAGATTGTTGACAGACCCCTTCCTCTTTAGTAGTTTATACAGTATATATAAAATTCTCTCTTCATTTAATCAATTGATTTATTCCTGTTAATATTATTGATTTAACTACTTTTCTTTTGTTATATTTTTGCCATTATTTGTTTGTTAATCTGTTTTTTATTTTCCAGATTAATTCTTATAATGAATTAATTAATCTAACCATTATTACAATAACCAGAGATGATACAGTTGATGTTTGTTTGGCTGTGGTAGATTTGGGTTTCATATGTGTGATGTTATGTCTCAGTACTATTTTGTTATATAAAAGTCACAACAAAAAAACAACTAACAAGAGAAAGCTTACCAATGTTTAATCTTTCTGACAACATTTGGTCCAGTTTCAAGCCAATCACTTCTGAGCTGCATATTCACTGGTTGCCTGGCAACCTCACTGTGACGTAATGCCTCCGCGAAGTGATGCACGGCTGTTGTTTATCAAGAAATGGTTAGAGCACATCACTCCCCCTAAAGCCACACAATGTTGTTGTGGCATTACTTTTTGTGTACGAGACACAGTTTGTTTATTAGTGGTGCTTGTAGGCGTATTATTTAACTTTGGAGAGATTCATCGAAAAATGCAAATGAGCATATTTGCCAAAATGTTGAATCATTCATTTTAAGGAGAGACTACAGAGTGAGCAGGAGCAGAGCACTGAAGTGAGCAGAGATAGAGTACAACTAAATAGAGCCAGGATATGAGTATAAGAAAGCAGAGTGTGTTAAATAAGAGAAATATAACTCTGGGAAAGAATTTGGATAGAGCAGTGGAGTATGAATATGTGTAATCACATGGAAAAGAATGCATCATAAACACAGACAATCAGGACAATAATGGAGAGGAACATGCTGCACACGGATACATATGTAGACTTCTGTACCTGGTAGAGCACAAGCCTCTCTATGAGTGGAGCTTTTTGTCCCCCGATCTTCTGTCATCTTTTCGTCTGCTGTTCCGTGACCCTTCTCCTTGCTATAAAACACAAACAGAAATAAAGTTTAGACGCTGTATTCTTATCCTTTGAGAGGAGGAAACCCACCCAACACACAAACCTGAAACTGAGACAAAGAAGAAAGAAGAAACTTCAGAGTTATGTAGGAAGAGCAATCTGAAACTAGGAAATGTTATTAGTAGCTCGATTGTTAGGATTATTATTAAGGCCCAAACCACACAGCAACCAGACACCTGGAGGAGGAGAAGTTATATTATTATGGAAAGAAACAAAAGAAGCAGATTATGTTTTCACAGCAGAGTCACAGCACTCATTAGTCTTACTGTGAGTTATAGGTTAAACCCTTGAGAGGACTGTTAAAACCACACAGTCAGCATCCCCTTTGTTGGGCAAACACAACAGTCACCACACAGTGTCAAAACACAACATGCACAAATATGCTTCAAATGGCTGCATCTCTTTTGAATTTGTTCCCATAAAAGGTCAGTTATCCCAAACCGGTTAGTGAAAATGTTAATACAACTTTCACCTGCACTACTGGAGGAGAAGCATGATCAAATCTCACAGGTTCTCTTTTTGACTTAATTGTTTTGACTTAAAGCTGCACTCGAACATCAGTGGGATGTAATATTGAGGTTTCACAATGCTAATAATAAAGTGGTTTCAATAAACAGTTCTGTCTTGGAGACATTAATTATTTCTCAACATCTTTAACTCTGATCTTCCTTAACATTGTTTCGTAATCATTTTTAAAGTTAGGAAATGTATTTTAATCACATGCATGGCAATATCAAAGATATCTGCTTGTTCCATAACTTCAGTGAGGTTTTATGCAGCTCTCACTGAGTGCAGAATCTGTGGAATACATTTTTTGTGAGGCAATTAAAAGTATTTATTCACATATTTACAATCATTTATTTGATTGTAACCCAACTCTGTGATTTTAACAAAGTCTTTGCCAGTGCAGCTTTAAGCCTAACCTTTACATTAGCTGTAAATCTCCAATTATAGATGCAGGCATGCGGTCTAGATTACACTTCAAACCCAGGAACACAGTGTAAGGGTGTCTTCATGCCAACCTCGGACCCCTCTTCCTGCAGAGTGGGACTGTGCAGGAGGTCTTGGAGCCACCTGTCATCTCCTTGGTTTTCTGGTGTGGGAGTTGTCACACGTCGGATAACCTTCCTGATGACCTGCCAGAGGAAAAAGGACGTTCGACACAAGAAGAAAATATCTGATGGCGTCCTCTTTCATAAAAATAACTCTTCCTGTAATGATTCAGAGCTGAATGGGAAGTGGAAAATAAGTTTTGCATTACTTTTCTACTGATGAGGTTACCATCTTGGTCCATATAGTGTTCCTCGGTCACAGACTCGCCTGGGACATTCTTTGCTGCTTCTCCCTGCAAGCGATTGTGGTTAGCACATGAATACAGGCTCAAAACGGCTGATTTCTGTCATAAAACTTCACCATCACCACACCGAAACCACACCTCATAAAGAACCTATATCAAAGAGAGGATTAGCAATATGAAGCTTTACCAACCAGCCAAAAATAACACCTCAACAGGTTGGATAGTCATGTTCAAATATGACTATCACAACATGTATCAACACACAAAGAGAGTGTAGCTATCACTTCACCCAGTAATACCACTGCAATGCACACCAGACTGACCGGTCTAAACCAAACCAAACCAAGCCTAGATTCTGCTCCAGGCTTTCGGGGTACCTTTAAAATGAGGCGGCGTCTGAAGATTCTGGTGGTTACAGTCTGTTCTTCCTCTGAACCGGAGTCTACACTAACCTGCTGCCGAGGAAGGTTTTATAAGGTCAGTACACAAACACATGGAGGGGGTCAGGAGGAGAAAGAAGCTCTGGGTAAAGAGAAGGATTAGTTCATTGAGACATTTTGTTGATGTCCTTTATGTACTTCAACATCACGGCTGGCTGTATCGGAAAAAAAAGGAACCTGGAATAAAACACTGATGGGTAAAATAGGTTGAATAAGGTGAAAAAAACAACAACACATTACCGAGAAACTTCGCTAAGTTCATTACTTACATAAAGAAAATTATTTTTCTGAAATGTGTTGTTTGAATAAACAAATAAGGCATTATCTGATTAAATAACGTGGTCATTTGCAAACATTTCTAGAACTCCAAAAAGCCGAACACTGGATAAAGCCAGGTTCAAACATTTTCTTTGTTGACATACTGTAGTCAAAAGTATAAGAGCATAAGAAATACAAAAAACGTGCCTGTAAAAAAAATGTGAATTAGATCAGCTTTACAAAAAGACAATTTGTTTTTTTATACCTTAAGAGTGTCTCCTGCACTAACAAAATCACAATAAGTCTTCAGTATCAACACAAAAAAAGAGGATTTACACACTTTTAGGAAATGTATTTTCCTTGAGATGTTTTATAATTGTTGCTTATAACATTACCTGGACTTTTTTCTCCGACACTAGTGCGCCCTCTTCTTTTCGACCATTCGATGATTCCGAGGAGCGGTCCTGAGGTGAGTGCCTTGAGTTGTTGCCGTTCCGTCGGGACTTCCCTGATTCGCCTCTAGACGAGGAAGTGATGGACTCACTGGAGATTTCTTGGCTGTTGGGTAAAAAAAGACAACATTATAATGTAATAATATAACTTCAAGAACTAAAAGACATCGTATGAAAAGATTTATGAGAAAAAATGGGAGGAAACGGTACATTCAAATTTTAGGTTGGCAAAAAGTTTGGGAACCCTTTAACTGATGCCCATGTTTATAATGCATAATAAACTTACTTAAAGTGGACCAATTGACCTTTCGCAAAGCCACGCCCCTAAATGCCCGTTGTCCAATCATATTCGATCCCGTGCCTGTGGAAGTCCGACAAGCTTAGCGTTCAAATTCATTGCGAAAATGGTGAAGCGTTGTGCTTATGGTCTTTGCAAATCGGATAGCAGATATCCCATGAGGAGGGGGGGGGGGGGGTGATATTTTACCCGTTTCCTAAACCCAAAACCCGAGAGGAGAGATGCCGCCAGTGGATAAAGAAATGCGGCAGGCCCCATGCCCAGTTGAATATGGCGAATATCAACAAACACAAATACGTTTGCTCCAAGGTAAATACGTGCTAACGTAGCTAGCTAACTGGTAAAGATTACATTCACAAATTAACGAAATAATTAATTAACTAATTTCACTAACTAACGTTAGCTAAAGTCCCACGACTACAGCTGTAAGCTGTGTGCTTCTAGGTCGTTTTGACCATGTACTATCACTTGATGCATACATGCTCTGAACACTGAGTCGTTATTAGCTACCTGTGTCAAAGTACACAACAAGAAAGCCAACAGGCAATACATGTGATTATATTTTGCTTTAATCTTTGTCAGCATTTTGTTAATGGAAAGGCCTTACTGCCGACTTCCCTAACTCCTGCTGCACCCAAGGGGCACCCACGGACCGACAACCAAGGAACAACAAGGTGGATGCAGAAAGCCACCCAAGGAAACGGTAGTTAACTTAGCAAAATACAACACATTTTAATGCCTCTTGTGATTGCTACGTTGTTTTAATTCAAATAACTCAATAAAATTCCGTCGAATTTGACATACAGCTCCTGTGGTTTTTCACCTCTTGCGCAACTGGCGACCTGTATGCAGTGGCCTCTATTGATGTTTGGCCCTCGCCTCTTTTGCGCGAGAGAGAGCGCGCTGTGGATATAACCGCTCCATACGGCATATGTAGCCCCTTTTGTGGCAGCTCTGCGCACGGATACTTGCTCGCGCTATTGCGCTCCAAAAAATGAGTCTGTTAAGCCGCGACTCCGACCGTTAACGGAGACCCTCCATTATGGCTTTGTTTAACGCATCTGGCTGCTCAGCCCTTTTTTTTTGGTTTTTTCCCGGGACAAGCAACAGTAACCAAGGGCGGGGGCGTGGCTTTGCGAAAAGGTCTATACTGCTATAACCTTTCCGGCAAAAAATATAATCTTTAGCCGGCCGCATACCAATACAAAACATGTCAGATGAAGTTTTTTGCTTAAAATACCATACAGTCTCACGCGATTGTAGCGCATGCTCATACTCGCTCAAACCCCGCTCTTTTCAGCCCTGTTAGAGAAACCCAGCGGATTTTGGGTCCTTAAACGCTTGAAAAAAAAAAAAAAAAAAGAGGAGTGCGGAGCTAATGGCTGATCAGAATTATACGGCAGATAAAGTTAACTTCTGCCTGCGTGATAAAACGCCATCCTGTTCTAATCCAACACACATCAAGGATTATTCTGAAACCAGTCATGGAGTAAATCTCTTTTTCTCTTGGCACAGGTTTATCTCAAGGGGAAAGTCCTTCTTTTATTTCCTGCTTTTTAAAAACACACGTGCTCTACAGTAAAACCCAGAATAAGCTCTGAGTGTTAGGCGAGGCTTGCTAAATGTAAAGCAAAGAGGAGATACGCTCCAAAAGCACGTCAGGCATACTGTTTCCTGCATCCAAGCAACTTTCTGTGGGTCCGCCGCGCAGATTTGACGCTCAGATCGGGCCAGCAAAATCTGTAAATCCCCCCTGATTTCGTTGTACACGCCGTTTTTTAAAAAAGATTTGGGTCTACGGCAAGGGGAAAAGAGAGAGGCCGATTTTATATTTTCTGACGGCTGCGTGAGTTCCCCGACCGGCACGCGGGTCACATATTTATTGTATACATTTAGTTTTTAGCATGGATCGTGCATTATATTGCTGATTATGAATTTACTCTAAAGTTGTCATAACAAGGCTGGGAAAATACAACTAATTAGTGGGGCATTGTTTTCGCTTTAAAGTTAACGCAAAATGACAAACAACATTTAATTTTTAAAAATTGCCCTATAATATGTTACTGATTATTTG